CACAAAATCATAGAATGGCTTAGGTTGGAAGTGACCATAAGGATTATCCAGTTCCATCCCCTTGCCCCTCACAGAGCTGCTCCCCACCAGTTCAGGCTGCCCAGGGCCCCATCCAACCCAACCTTGAGCCCCTGCAGGGATAGGCACCCACAGCTTTTCTTGGCAGCTGTGCCAGAGCCTTAACACCCTCTGAGTAAAAGTTTCCTCCTAATACCTGATCATCCTCACGGCCCTCCTCTGGATCTGCTCCAACAGCTCCACATCTTTCTTGTATTGGGGACCTTAGGCCTGGACACACTACTCCAAATGGGGTATCAGTCCAACTCTTCTCCTAGCTGAACAGACTCAGCCCTCTTAGCCTATCCTCTTACGCCCTGCCCTTCTGAACAGCCAATAGCACTCTGTTCCAGCAATCCAGTCACAGCACTTATCCCACTGAGTCTTGATGATCACAGCTTTGGGAGAAGACCAAAGCTTGCAGTTCATCCTGTTCATTCCTCATACTGCATGCATTGGTGTACAAGCATTTCAGATACGCTTCTGAACCCATAGTGTTCCTTGGAGCAGCACTGACAATCCCATTAGCCTCAGACTGTTTTGTACCATCCCTTGCATTAAAATCAGTCTTCCTAATGGTATCCCCCTGCTCCCATCAATCTTTGCTTTTACCTAATGACAAGTTAGAAAATGCAAAGTAGTATTAAAAGCAAGAAAGAACACTAAGTACATCTTACATTGGAGCATGGGCGTCTCCAAAACGGTTTATGTTGTTGTAGTCAACTAGCTGCAATGTCTTTTGTGAGTACTTATTTAGCAGGCTGACGTAGTCAAGTGGAGGCAGCACATCCGCAGATGGAGGAGATGCCACTAGATCTGGAGCATGCACACTCGAAGGACTATCTTGCTATAAGGCAAATACAATAGATAACTTAAAAACTTCAGCTTAGTAAGTAGTTTAATATAAGCTGCACATGAGAACTAATACAGCTGCAAGGTTTGCCAGCATTTCAAAATACTTTTAAGAAATTTCAAGTTTGTATTGTTTGGACATGACAGAGGACAGTCACCGCAAGCCAGAATCATTACAATTTTGAATTTCAGAACAATCGTAAGTTTTCAAAGCATTTCAACGGGGTGTGTAACAACCTAATAGTGTATCTGCCACCTCTTTTAGCAAAAGGCGGGGAACAAGCAGTGTAATGTCTCATAAAAATGTAAGGACCAGAACCAAGAAAAGGGGTGCCAACAGGAAGCTGCTGCTGCTGCAGGGGCCGCAACTGCTCCTGTGCACGTAAAAATTAACATATTTACAAATGTAAATAAATCAAGACAATATAGAACCAGTTGTACCGTAAAGAACATAATGGCAAGAAGAATTAACCAGATCAAGTGAAAGTAAACCATTTTAAGAGAAAAGTGGCAACACACACTGAATAGTAGCTTGTATGTGTTCCAAGGACTTTGTATACAGAAGAGCTGCCAAGATAGTAAAGGAACGCTGTCCACTCTGGATATGCTAAGGCAGCTTAAAGACAAATGAATTACCTCATCTCTCTATAACAAAAAACAAACAAACAAAAAGGAGTACTCTTGATATTACCCTATAGTAGAATAATAAACACAATTAAGTGTTAAAATAAAAAGTAGAAAAACAGTGAATACGACAAAACAAAACCAACATAAGTAACTGGAATCTCTTCTAAATTAAACAATGATAACTTCTTTGCTACTTTCAGAGATTCATTTTCAACCACTGTTAGCAAAATAAACATAAATCATACAGCTCGCTCACCTTTTGTACAATCATGTCCCACGTTTTTTTTGCTGCTGCTGCTTTTGCATCCTTCTTACTTTTACCAGTGCCTGCACCATACTCTTTACCATCTATTCTAACCACAACTGTAAACCTGCAATAAAGGAAACTTCCCTGTAACATCGGTAAGTTTTGTCTCAAATGTATTTTAAAACTTCTTCAGATGTAGTTTCAATATGTACAAAGCACTAAATGAGCTGTGGGGGTATCTGAGCATTCATAGTTTTATGGTGCTGAGATGTGTATGAGAATGCTAAAAATTAGCTAAACTTGATTTCATGCCTTCAGAAATGACACTATGCTTACCTTCCAGTAGTGCCTGCAGGCACTACTTAGCACAAAAAACGTGCCTGCTTGTACAGCTGGAAGAGTAGCGCAGTTAAGATGTTACTTTACAGGTGCTATAGTTGGAAAGATTATCATGGTGGAAAAGAAACAATCAAGGAAGAAATGCCTGCCCATATCCATATCCATATCATGTGTTTTTATTATATCTGACTCCTAGTTATCATAGTTCCTTATAGTAAAGATTTTAAAAAACATCTTCCTAACCACAACTGCATGTTCTATACTAGTTCTAGTAGTGTTTCTAAAAGCAAAATTCTTAAAGAATGCATGAGGTCATCATTGTTACAAGGCAAGGTAGCTTTTGCTGAGTAATGTTTGCAGTTTATCAAAGCCTTTTCAGCTTCTCACTCTACCCTGCCGGTAAGGAGGCTGGGGTGCACAAGGAGTTGGGAGGGGACAGCTGACCCCAACTGACCAAAGGCTATCCCAGCTCATACCATATGACTCAGCAAAAAAAGTTGAAAAACAGGAGGATGAAGTGGGTCTAAGCAGCCAATAGTGTGATGAAGACCTACCTTCTTGGGATTGACTAATAATCTGCCTGCTGATTGGAAGCAGTGAGTGAATTCCTTATTTTGCTTTGCTTGCACATAGAGTTTGCCTCAGTTTTCTTAACTCCCCAGTTTTTCCTCACTTTTGCTCCTCCGATTCTGTCTGTTGAGAATGAGTGTCAGAGGCACCTGACAGGGTCAGCTTATTATGGCAGCCCAACACTGCATTCTACTCAGAAAAGCCTGAGCCATACAGGATTTTCCTAGATAACACTATCATAGTTCACATCACCCACAAATACAAGACAGCAGGTTGAATTATATTTTTAATATAAGAGAACATACAAAAAAATTGTAAAAGTGAAATTAATTGGATTTGAATTTGTACACACATTCTATTAGTCCCATGCAATCCCTTTTGAAGTATGAATTGCATGAGAGGGAAAAAAAGATGATAGATCAAGGTTTGAGAGACAGGTAATAATTTGCTCAGGGTCTGAGAATAAGACAGCACAGAGTGCAGGCTGGCAACAGGAGACCACCACTTAAAAGAAACATCCTGATTATGAGCATAAGATTTGTCTTTATGCAAACTAGCAAAGAAAAAGAAGGAAATATTATAGACATTGGGTATCTGTGATCTGTGGGAAGGGAAAGAACAGCAGACATCAGACAGTGCATTTGTCTTCAAACAAGAAACAACCCTACGTATTCTGTCCTCGGCATTTGTCTCCACAAATAAAAGCGAATCGATTTAAGACCCTTCTCTTGTAATAGATGTTCAAAAATGCCACACAAAACCATGTTGGTAACCAAAGAATTAATGCACACCCAACCTTTACTCTTAGAAATATAAATCGCCAAATTACTTTGTAAAACTTTATAAAAACCACAGCACTTAAATTACTTAAACCGCTGGCTGCAATCCACCCACCTCACGAGGTGATTCGTGACAAAAAGCATCAATGCAAGACAACCACCAGCAACAGATGCTCCCAAAAAGCACCATTAGCTCTGAGGTAAGTTTTCCATAGGCCCTTTGTGCCCAATGACACTTGCTGCACACCCATTGGTGTTTGCAGGCAGCTCTCTGCCACCCTTCCAGCAAATCAACTTCTGTTGACTGCAGTCTTCACCCAGTTTTACCTACTGCTGATGTTCATTGGCGTGCGTGGTGAACTTACTCAGGGTCATGAGATGGGCCTCTCATATCCACATCAGCGTACTCGAGCTTGTACTTATTCCTCTGGCAGTAGCTGTTGATCTTGCTCATACACTCTCGGTCCATCTCGATGCAATATCTGAGTACCAAAAGATTCTGTAGAGAAATATTCAGGGCTGTGCCTGAGCCTCACACAGTGCTACAGAGACAGCCCGCGTTCTGCCAGGGCACTGCTGTGACAGAGGACAAAATAGTGCCAGGAGGAGAACGGTCACAGAGAAGTAACTGATTTCTCATTCAAGTCTCCATGTAAGTTGGCTTGTAACTGTATTCTAAACTTTCTGAGATTAGAGATTCAGAAAGCAGAACGACGAGTTTAGCGATGAAGGATTTCTCAGCTGATTCCTGGAAAAGAAGAGGCTGAATCACTCAGTGGATGCTGAGAGAAATTAGCAACGTTTCTCCATAAAGAATTAAAACTGCTTCCTTCAGCGCAGAACCGAGGCACTCCAGCCCGCACTCTAAGGCTACGAGGCCGTCAGGATCCGTGACGCGCACGACGGAAGCAGGAAGCGAAAAACAAACGCTTGCAGAAAAAAAAAAGCAGATAAATCAGTGACGGTTACTTTGTAACGGGAACTCCAGGTACGCCCCGACCGAGCCCCGCTTCCCACGGCCGCCTGGCTCCCTCCGCCCGCTGTTACCTCCGCTGTCTCCGCCGGCCCGCACCGCCGCGAAGAGCCGTGCAGCGCTACGCGGACGCAGCCCCGCTTCCGTTTCTCACAGCAGTGCGGCGCCGGCACGAAACGAAAGCGAAAGGCGGACGGGGAGCGCGGGTGGGCGGCCGCGCCTCTCTCACAGCGCCCTGCCGCGGCGGGCCGCTCGCTGCCTGCCTGCCTGCAGCGCTACGGCTCAGCGAGCGCTCCCCGGCTTACGCCTCGGGGCATGGACAGCGCGGCTCGGCGTTGGTGCACGTAACCCTACGGCCGCCTTCGCTGAGAGAACCGAAAGCCCCTTTGACAGCCATTCCTGGCCTGAGTTACGTAACTCGATAAGTTTATTTACTAGCAGTAGAATAAAGACGTGAGAGCACCCGCCTTGCTGGCAGCCCCACCCCGCGTCCTACGGGACTCCCTTCCCCCCGCGGCCCCGCCCAGCGCCGGGGCGGGCGCAGCGTTCGGTGGTTTCCGCCGCTCCGTGCCACGCACGGCTTTGCGCGCTGCGGCGGCGGGCGGAGCGCTCCCGGCTGCGGGCCTCGGGCACGGGGCGGAGAGGCGTCGCCATGGGGGTGCACGGCGTCAAGGCTGTCTTCTTCGACCTGGACAACACGCTGGTGGATACGGCGGCGGCCGGGCGCCGCGCCATCGAGGAGGTACGCGGGGGCGGCCGCGATCGGGCAGCGCGGGGCAGGGCGGCGGTGTCCGGACGGGCTGTGCTCTGTGCGTTGCAGGTGGTGAACGCCCTCCGCTCCAAGCACCACTGCGGGGAGGGAGACGCCCGCGGGATCTGCGACAAGGTGCAGGCGAAGCTCCTCAAGGAGTGCCACGACCCCGCCAAGACGTGCATCACCGAGCTGCGGATCTCGCACTGGGAGGAGGCGATCCAGGAGACCATCGGCGGCGAGGCCAACCGCAGCCTGGCCGCGGAGTGCTACTTCCTGTGGAAGGCCACCCGGCTGCGGCACCTGACGCTGGCCGAGGACACGCGGGGCATGCTGACCGAGCTGCGCAAGGCTGTCCGCCTGCTGCTCCTCACCAACGGCGACCGGCAGACGCAGCGCGAGAAGATCGAGGCGTGCGCCTGCCAGCCCTACTTCGACGCCATCGTGGTGGGAGGCGAGCAGAAGGAGGAGAAGCCCGCGCCGTCCATCTTTCACTACTGCTGCAAACTCCTGGGCGTGCAGCCGGCCGAGTGCGTCATGGTGGGGGACTCTCTCGACACAGACATCCAGGGAGGGCTGAACGCCGGCCTGAGAGCGACCGTCTGGTTAAACAAGTCGATGGCGGCCCCGGCCGATGCCTCGCCGGTGCCTCACTATGTCATTTCGTCCGTTCTCGACCTGCCGGCGGTGCTGCAGAAGATAGAGCACAAGGTGAAGTTAGGGACGGACCGTGCAGCGGGCGGCACCGAGGCACGCTGAGGGCTGCGGCGCGGCAGGGAGCTGTTGGCTGTGCTCCTGATAAAAATCTGACCCTAGGGTTTGCAACTCGTGTACTTCAAGTTTTTCTTAAGCAGTGGGTGGGCAAGAGCAAGGTTTTCAGTGGAACCGGGGTAAAAACAGAGTATTGGATTCATATAAAAGATGCAAGCGCAGTTAGCTTAAAATAACTGCCTGTATCTGGAAATTACTTTGACAGACTGGCTAAAACGTGTTTGTCTCTGATGGAAGTCCCTTGTTTCTATGCTGGAAAAGAAAACTGGAATGTTTTGATCATTCAGTGGCAGTTATTTGCCTTGATGACCTGTAAGTGCAGCAGAAGCTCAGTTCGAACCTTGCCTGCAGCACATTAAAAACATGAAAGTGAGGTGTTATGCAGTTTGCAGACCTTCACAGTCCACCTACAGCTTATCTCAGAAACTGAAGTGAGTTTTGCTATTCCTGAGATCAGAATTTATTGATAGAACTTATGTAGCAAACCAGTAGGAAGTGATTTTCTCTGATCCCTTTTCAAGTTTTAGCATTTTTTTCAGTCTTTGCAGTGACTTTTATGGAATCTGTATCTGTTGCTAAAAGTACTTCAGTGTACACACAGATTTGCATTTGTACGGGGGACCATTTATCAGAGGAACTCAATGGATAAGTTTTTACTTTATATCATCTTGGTGCTGCAAATAAGCAGTGTGCTTGTAAATCATATGATGATTTTTGTTGGAACATAACTGATACAACAGGGATATTTTCAATGATCATCTTACTGTACCGTAACTTCTTTGGCAGCTCATATTATTGTTCTGTCTGATTTTATTATGGAATTTTGATCAGACTCACTGGAGAAACTGTTTTTGGTCTTGCTCAGGAATATGACCACTCAGATTCAGCTGCAGCATCAGTGCTTTTTTTTTTTTTTTTTTTTGACTGTTTGAATAGCACTGCTATACAATCCCTCCTTTCCACTTGTGTTTCATGTGATTTACTCTGGAGAAGGTGTTAGTTGTTTGTAAATGGCTTTCGTGACGCTTTTCCATGAAAGTGGAAAACTTGGAAAATGGTGTCATGTGCACAGTAACAGTGCTGTGTACGATTTCTTAATGTGTATGTGCATCTGGTGGAACATTTGAAACTAGATGTTACAGAGGTGAGCCTCTGAAACACCAAGATTTCTCTCTCCCAGATTATTATCTTAATAATTTAAATTTGCTGTACTTCACATACTTAATACAAAAGAAATAAGAATTTTGGGTGAATGTACGTAAGAAATGTATCAATTTAAATTCATGTAAACAAAGGTACATTTCTTTTATATGAAAGAAAGTTTCACATAGTGTCATGGATTCTGCTTAGAGGAGGGTGTTAATCTGCATTAAATTACTTGGCAATAAGTTTAATTTCCATGAAACCAAGTTTCTCCAACGTTGAAATAGATTGACATGTTAATGCAAGCTTGAATCTCTTTCATCAAATTAATTCTTAAAAATGATGGAACCATCCACATTCTTAATGTCATGTAGCCAAGACCTTTGAGATGCTAGGATGACTGAGTACAGAGGCAGGCTCCGCTTGTACCTATGAGGAAACAGGTGTAAGCCACAAGTGAATTGCCACGTGTAACATGAGCCAGTGGGACTGACTGGACATGCCTTTGTTACTGGAGTAAGAAGCCTAAGTTAAGATTTCGTTTTGCCATTGAAAGTATGAAAACAGTCACTGGTGTAAAGCTTATGAGCAAAACATTGCTAATGACATTCCTTATAATGAAAGACTAAGAGAAAAATAACGAAGGTCATTGAGCCCGCCAGGAATATTGCTTAAAAGTGGAAGTGTATCCAAAAGGTGAGATGGATCCCTGGAAAGATAACTTAGTTGAAGTAATCTGTTTTAACCGTACTGAAGGAAAACAACTTTGTTTACAACAGCATCCCAGAGTAGAAGCAATTTAACTGCGCTGCTTGCATGGCATCAGGCTGACAGAACTTGCCTCAGAATGAGGTTTCTGACCCAGCTGTGATGTAAAATAATAAATAGAAGTAATTCACAGTTCTGTCTGTTGGCTTGAAGGATATTTATTTACCAGATTACCATTTCTTAATGTAAGTTGAGGCTTGTATTTTCTTGCTTTTGTATCATTCTGAAATAGGATGCTGAGCCTGCTTGTTGTTTAAAAGGTCTCTTGTTTTGTAAGTCTGTTCTTTGTTTTGCACTTGGTTTTAGCCAGTTATTTTCTTATATTTATGATCTATGAAAAAAAAATGCTGTAACTGAACACTCAGGGGATAGTGTGGTCTGTAGAGGTCACACCTAAATATACTTTTCCATTGTGAGTGCTGTACCAGGCTGGATGTGACTACCAGCTTCCAGTTAGGGCAATGCTATTATGATGCTGCTATAAAACAAGAAGAAAAGAGGTATCCATTGGGCATCTTCTTAGAAGCAATTACCCGAAGAACTGGATCAGGTATCTGGAATATCTAAATATTCAAGGTGGTTTTCCTTGATGGAGCTGTTACAGAAAACCAAGTGAAAAATAGTTCTATTAATGAAAATGGGAAAAACAAATGTAATGGTGGAAACATTTTCAAATCAAAAGTGAAAATAGATGAATAAAACTGTCAGTATTCAGTTCCAGTTAAGTTCTGGCTTTGCTTAGTGATATGCTCTATTAGGTAAGTTGCCTAGTTTAAATTATACTACCAAAACACACTAAATAAAAGAGAGAAAAAGAAATTATATTTATTTTTAATCACATTTTCTCAGATAAATATCTCCTGAGGTCAATCTTCAGTAATGTTGATTTTAGATTAAATGAATTGTACCAACATTATAATGCCAACTGCATTCAAGACAACCCATGTACTAGTCTAATAAAAGTATTTTGTTTATAAAAACTTGTTTTGCACTTTGTCACTTTTTTTAAAATAGCACAGAATTGGCTTTGAAATCTGTGATGTTTAGATATGTTGAATATGTGTAGTTCTCATAATTTCAAAGGCTGAAGCAATAGTTCTGTATTTTTAAAACTTTTTGGCCTGTGTACACCACACTGAATTCCTAACAGTGGTTAGGAACTGCCATGAAAGCATTTGGCTCTACCAGGCGTACGAAGACCTGCGTGTCATTGCATCTCCATTCTTGTTCGGGGGGCTTTGTATGCATAAGGTGTTGAGGTGCATAGTAACAGCATTAGAAACGGGGATTCTTTTTCATGTGCTTTTCGGCACAGAATTAGAGTTCGAAGTGACTCAACAAGTTTAATCTCCTTTTACGACAAGATGGCCCACCTTGTTTACCAAGGTATCATCACTTTAGATTTCAGGAAAGTTTTTGCCACTATTTCTCACAAGCCTGACGGCAGCTGCAGCTCCTCACAGGAAGCAGAGGGGCAGCGCTGAGCCCTGCTCTCCACCCCAGGGCCCGAGAGAACGGCTCGGAGCTGTGTCAGGGGAGGAGCAGCTGGGGGCTGGGGACAGGTTTGGCACCGCATCGGGCTGCCCAGGGCAGTGGGCACGGCCCTGAGCTGCGGGAGTTGCAGGAACGTTTGGACAATGCTCTCAGACATAGGGCTCGGAGTTTGGATAGTGCTGCCTGGAGCCAGGTGGCGGGCTGTGATCTTTGCAGGTCTCTTCATAGTCAGGATATTCTATGACTTCCTGAAATAAAGACAGGGACAGCTTCCTGGGCATCAGATACTCTGAACCTGTTCCATTCTTTTCCTGTGAAGCTCTTGTTATGTGGAAACACCAATAACATGGTTTTGAACTAGCAGAAGTTTGATCTGTCATAGTATTTTCATTCATTTTCTAATAAGAAATTTTTATGTGCTTACGATTGATTTTTTTAATTAATGCATTTTATGAATAGTTTTCCATGCTTTATTTTCTCCCAGTTTCATTCTTCCCCCATCCACTGATGGAGTAGCTTACTCATCAGAAGAGTATCAGTGGTAGACGAGACAGACCTTGGAAGCACTGTAACTGCTTTAAAACAACTAACAATGAAAATCTAAGAAAGAAAGTTATTGTTATCTGAGCAGAATAAATATTGACAGATTCCCCAGGAGTTATGAGTTTGAATAACCAAATTGTAGGAGCCTAAATATACCGTGCTTCCTCTGCTACCAAGTAACATCTTAAGATTCATACGCATGCTTGTGTTCTATATTCTGCATTAAGACAAGTGATTTATGGCATGGTTTCCTAACACCCAGTATAAATACATACAATGTGAGATTACCATCAGAATCTCTTCCAGTCAGTTCAGATAGGGACTTCAAGAGCACAGGTCAGCTGATCTACATAGAACAGCTACTCTGCAATTACTTATATCCTCCAAATATCTTTGCTCCATAGATTATAATAATATCTGGATGATGGAGTCAAATAGACTTATTAAATGTAACTGTATGAATATGAAATTTTGATTAAAGTCAGAGCTGAAATGGAATCTCTGTCTTCAAAAGTGATCATCTCAGTACCATGCACATATTCAAAGCCTATTGAGGTCTCATGTAGTTCTGCAGTTGCAAAGAGGTTGTTCTGGCAGCAGTATGTGTGCCAATATACCATTCTCCCATATCTTAATAATTTGCCAGACATGGAACAGCCATCACTTGAACCGATTCTTATCTAAGCTATTTAAACACAATCTGTCCCCAGTCCTACACGACTACTCGTGCAGGTAAAGCCAGGGTTAAGGGAGAGGTTGGCAGAGGGCAAAGAACCAACAGCTGATTTTGATGAGAATTGTCTGGGCATGGTAAACAAAGTGCTCAACTGTACATGCAGTGGATGGGTGAACAAGATCAGTCTTCTTTCAAAAAAGAAGACTAAAGGCAAGAAGGGAGGAGTGCAGCTATTGTTCTCTATTCAATTCATTTGTAAAACAGCTGAGAAGGCCTGTCCATAAATTGTGCCACAAGTCAGGAAAAAAATTCCTAACCTGAGTGCAAATGCAATCAGGTTCATAAATTGCTAACATTTTAACTTTACTCTTCAGTAGCACCTAGACTTCAATGGAGCTGGACATAGCACAGCACAAAACTGCAAACATACAGTAACTAATACTCCTTACCTCAAAGGAGTGGGTGGTGTATGCTACAGACTTAACTTCATAGTCTTTGGGCACCAGTCCCTCCTCCCACGGGTGTGTGTGTGTGTGTGTGTGTGTGTGTCAGCACATTCTGCATCTATCCATTTGCCCTCTAGCTAACTATCCAATTCTGGTTGTTCTCAGCACTACAATACAGAACAGAACCAAGTAGTGCTGGCTGCTGACATACATAGTGATCTCTTTTTCAGCCTGGCCCTAAACTGGGAGCATTTTTGCTTCTAAGCTATCTTAAAGACTCTTTAAAGAAAAGTCTGTACTAATAAAACTCATCACCTAGAAATCATGCAAACACAACCAGAAATGCAATGCATCTCTAATGTATGTAGTGTATACTGTTCTTTTGTGCACAGCTTTTACTTTTCTATCAGCCTTGCAGTGGGATTGTCTCCATTATAACTCACTTTCTAGATCATGCTGTGCACATACAGGAGGTGTAACAATGCAGAGATTATGTCAGCTGTGTCTAAAGCAAAAACTGCAACTTTGCACCTATGTTGCAAGGGACCTAAACACAGAGAATCACGTTGCCTGCTCCATATAGCATATAAAAAGCAGATAGCTTTTTATTCTATCTGATAAATGAAAAAAACAACACAGTTGTGCAAGAGCCTTCTGCTGAGCAGTCCTCAAACACCAGAACAGATGCATTTTAAAAAATAATAAGTTATAGTGCTAAACATGAAGAGTTAGTCTTCCAGAAATGCAAGCCACGTTTCTCAAGTCAACTCCTAATGAAAGGCTGGATTATAACTCATATATGTTTACCATATATTATATTGCCATTTGCATCCATAGAACTCCCTGAATTAAAATAAAGTTTATGCACATTTCTATAAGGTCATTTAGAAGTGACTTTTACCTCCCACTTCTCCTGTTGCTATTTGATCAAATTCATCAATTTGTTTAGTTTTATTTCCTTCTCTTCCTGAATCACAGCAGCATCAAGTATTTGGAACAAAGTTCTCAGAGAACTTCAATAATAGATAGCAGAGGAGAGAGCCAGCTGTTGTACCAAGATCATGTGAGTACATACATTTTTTACTGGCTTCTTAGCAGCTATGTGCTGCACATGTTTGGGGTGTGTTTGTTTAAATAACCTTCCTCCAGTGAAACTTCTGTTCATATCAAACCAAAGAAGCAAATTTGTCATTTTGTTAAAAGAAAGCATAAAAGACGTGCTTAAAGCAAAACAAAGTTTTCTGTTAGTCTACAAAGTTTGTAACGCAAGTTTAAAATACCAAATCTAAGTTGCTTTCCTCAAAGTTTCCAAATCAGTGTTGAAGAATAGCTGACTAAAGAACTGAACGTTGTATGGAAAGCAAAACACTGACAATCATTTCCCTGTGTCTGTTCATTCAGATTATCACTAGCTCAAAGTGTTGGGTTTTTCTACTATAACTGTATTCAAGAACAGCTTTATCACACTTAGAAGATCCAACTTTCTTATATTTTGGAAATAAGATATTGTTAGGCAATACAGAAGGAGCCGTGCATGTAGTTTAAGCTACATTTGAATACACATTTTATTTGATGCACTTAATGCATTCATACACTTTTATTTTTTACATTTTTTCTTGTGTTCAGTTTTTCAGTGTATTCTAGGAGTGAACACTCCCAGAAATGCTTATTTTGCCACACCAGCTGTATTGCAAAAATACAATAAGAGGCTGAAGGTGTAGTGGTGTGTGTGAATATTTATGACAGCCATCACTTATGAAGTACGCTTCAGGTGAAGGATTTAGGGAACAACTCTGTACTTCTCAATGACTCTAGAAAGTTACTTGGTATAGTTATGGTTCAGTTTCAGTTGTCCCAAATGCTCGATAACCTTCCCAGAAATAAAGATGAAAAAACATTAAATTTATTCTACTTTCCTTGCTAAACTCACCTATAGCAATTGGACAGATCAGTGCAATGGGAAAGGCATTACAACAAAGGATGTGATGGCAGAAGAACCAGCACGACAGGAAGGTGCTATAAGGGAAGAAGATTGCTCACCCATAACAGAAGATTGCAGGTTCACAGGGGAAAGCTTCACCAAGGACAGACCTCCAGGATAAGATCCTTCCCCAGTGGCAGTCAGCCCTTAAATGAGACCTAAGAGAGGTGCAGCCAGGCTCCACCCCTTCTGGTCACACAGCTGAATTGCCTTCACCTGTACTCCCAGGGCTGACCAGGTCCTTTCCCCAGGTGCTCAATCAGTGGTTCAGGCCATGACTCAACAGTCACCATACATCACCCTAGCAATTTTTCATGTACTTACGCTGTTTACTGTGTGTCCTCAACAGCAAAACATACAGGCAAGTATAGGAAGACTATTTTCCCCAGATAGTGACCAGTATAAAGGAAATGTCCAACTGGTTGCAAAATTATTACTAATAAAAATGCATCAACTATTTAAATATACGCTTTGTTGCTTCTTTTGCTATGCAAGTGCTAAGAGTCTCACTAAAGTTTTCTTTCAATGAATTACATCATCATTTATCCTCAAAGTTCCTGTGCTATTTCCATCAAAGGAGCATTAGGTCAGGTCTGCCTATTTGAAGTTGTCAGTCTCAACTGTTTTTGTTTGTTACACCGGTTGGGTTTTCTTTGCTGTTAATGATGTGGCGTGTTTTAGTGGCACGTAAAATCTCACTGGGGCTCTGATTTGTCATGAAGTCGGCAGTGGTGGACTGACAGCCTTTGTTTGCTGAACTGTTGATGCCTTCTATTGTCCTTTGTTTCAGACATCTAAACAAGAAGGGTCCTGAATGTTCCAAGTGCTTTTTTTCGCCTTTCAGTAAGGAAATGCAAAAACAACACAAACAGCTTGTTTATTTTCCTTTTTGTAAATGTAATTCAAAAATATGTTTTGCTTCCGTCCTCGTGAGCTGAATATTTTAATGAAACCTACTATCTTGATGGCTAAAATACTTTGAGATATCTATTATCTTTTTCCTTTTGCTCTGAACACTTTCCGTGCGTGTGTTAAAACGGATGCAGCTTCATTCTGAGATTCTCCCTAATACTGTATTACTTTTTGTTCCACATTTCTACGCTGTATCTTGAAATGAAAAGCCCCTCCCTTAGAGATCTATTTACTTTTATGTAAGTATACAGAATTAACAATTTGGTTTTTTGTCCATTTTGTTCCCATACTGTGCCCCTGTTCAGTGCTATCCTAGCCAACGACCTCCTCCCTTCTTTTGCCATACACAGTAACTGCTCAGATATCAGCAGATTTATGCTGGTATAGAACAGCTTAAGGTTCAATCACTAAGGGTCAGTGCTCTGTTCAGGTTTGTAGGCACTTGCTTCATATGGGAGCTTCTTGGAGAAGGTGGCTTTTTTCCTCTATTACTGAGTGCCTTTAAGGAGTACAATGCTCCTTGTAGCCTCCCCTTTGTGAATGAACAAAGCAAATATAATTTAGAATAATTTTTAGGTGCCTATCTTAGGTGCAAAGAAAGAGAAAATTAAAGCTGAATATCAGTAGCATTTATTAATTACAAGGACCTAGTGTCGGGAGTAGCATAGAAAATGAAGTTCTATCATTTGAACCTGTGATAGCACGCTCTATTTCTTATGCTCACAGTTGCTCTCCTGAGTTTCTTAAAACCCTTTCAATGTATTCAAGTAGTGGAAATTTTACAAGACATCAATATCAAGAATAGTGCAACAAGTAGCCAGCTTAAGACTTCATTTCCAGTGTTTCCTCAGCAGATGGCATTAGAGGTTTAGTAGGTACAGCTTCTTTTTCTTTTCTTTTTTTTTCTTCCAATTTTCTGTATTTTTTTCCCCAATCACTATTTTAAATGTAAGACATACCTGGCAGCCATAAATAAGTTGAAGCATTCTTCTTTTCACTGTGCACTACCCTTCTGACATCATAAATGGTGAGGAGACCCTATTTCAGTAGGCAGCATATAAATACATTGCAAAGCAGTCCTGCTTAGGAGTTTTGGTCTGTGCAGGTCGGTACCATCTCTGTTTTAAGCACAGATATCTGAGGCATATTTTGCAAGAAGCACAGCAGCCTGTTGAACGGGAATGTGCCTAAAATCAGCAACAAATTTGTTGGCATTATGATGCCTGAAAGTTCACCCCACTAAGGTATGGGTGCACTGTGCTTGAACTGAGTTAGATTTACATCGTAGCTATTGGATTTAATTTCAAAAGAGGAATTCCTGCAGCTAATGCTGCAGTGGCTTCTGTATGATTTCAGGTCATCCTGCTGAGCTCGTCTTTCTATAGGGTTTCCTTGAGCTGTTTCCTGCTACCACATTGCATTTTTTTGTCTGGTGAATTCTTGGCCACTATTCCAGGCAGTTCCTACCTTGGCACCTGAAAACACGGGCAGGTTTTCATGGACAAACCTCGTGCCATTGTGTGTGCCATCTCCCCTTGGCTACTGACGACGAGTTTGGTGCTCCGTAATGGCTTTCGGTCCCCTCAAGAGGAGCCCACATACCCACGCAGTGCATTCTGCTGCCTTTGTCTGCGTGCTCAGCAGGTGGCAGCTGAGGATCGGCTATGAGCAGGAGCAGCCCCGAGCCACTGCAGGAGCCCGCGTGGGGCATCTCTGCCACGGTACTAAATTGATCCTGAAGGCAAAGCAAACCTGGCAGCCCTTGCAGTGTGATTCTGCATTTCTGAATTGTATAGAGCTTGCTCGGTGCATCCTCTGCAGTAACACCTGGCCGTCTTTGGCTGTACTTTGGCCTCTTTAGCTGAGGAGGCTCAGAAGAGACCTTATTGCTCTCTATAACTACCTGAAGGGAGGTTGTAGTGAGCAGGGGGTCGGCCTCTTCTCTTGTGTGTTAGAACTAGAGGGAATGGCTTTAAGCTGCCCAAGGGGAGATTTAGGCTGGGCATTAGGAAATACTACTCTGAAAGAGTGGTCAAGCAGTGGAATGGGCTGCACTGGGAGGTGGTGGAGTCAGCGACCCTGGAAGTGTTCAAGGAATGGCTGGATGTTGTGTTGAGGGACATGGTTTAGTGAGTACTATTGGTAATTGGTGGATGGTTGGACTGGATGATCTTGTAGGTCTTTTTCAACCTTGGTGATTCTGTGAATCTGTGATTCTGTACTGTGGATAGGCAGGACAGCTTCTTTGTCCTGACAAGAGTTTATATGATGACAAATACAATACGTCCAGAGAGCTAAAGGGTGGCATTGTGCAGCACAAGTGCTGCCTTCTCCAGCTTAATAAAGAGAGAATGAGCCTCAGAAAACCAGGGTGACTGGCTGATGGTCACACAGCAGGCTTGGGATGGAGACGGGACTCATAGCCACCAGTTCTATCTGGCCCTTGACAGTGGCTTTGGTTATTGAATCCAAGACAAAGCCTCCTTTGAAGCCTCCCTAGGCCAAGGTCAATAGTGTGGTGTGAGGCTCTGCCCATTACCACGAGAATAAACTGTGCAGCAGTTGAATGGCTCAAAACATTCACTGGCACTCAGCAACTCTTCTCACCTGGGAGCACAGCTGTGCAGCAGGAGATACTTACTTCTGGTACATGGAAAGCATTTATACACTGGCTGCCTGTCTTGTGAATGCCCCTGGCACACCTGGGAGCATTTTCAATGGCGATAATGCTAGAGGAGGTCCTCCTATTGTGTTAAATAATGCAATCAAACATTCGCATGGAGAAAAATGCCCTAAAACAATCTCCAATACCTTTCTGTGATGCTTAGAAGGTGGGATGCTGCCTTGCCTAAGCCACTGCCTGCTTGACACACACACACCCACACCACATAGGGGGAAAGCAATGAGTTTGAATCTCTGTGTCTTGCTCAGGTCAAAATAACACAAAATACCAATATTTCAGTCCAGATTTTTTACTGGAATAGTTGATGAAAATGGTCTACACAGCTTTCACCACTAAGACTATAAAAGTTTGTTCTACAAGGCTGACGGAGCCGTGTGCTTCATACCATATTTCCTACCCTCCTTTTCCTTTTCCTGCCCACCCAACTCTCTCTTGTTTCATCCACTTCAAAGGATGTATTTGCTAAGCTCCCCTGGGCAGGCATTCCTACTACAAGTTGTCACGGTACCTAGCATAACATCAGCCCAGGAGGCTGGCCAGTGCATCATGCCTAAAGGAAGCATAACCAATATATATTTTTTTTTTTAAATGAATAATATTTCTTCATTTATCTGACTTCCTAAAAGCTTCAGTGCTTTTCCATGCACCAAAGACAGCAAATTTTGAAAGTAAAAAGGCCAAGATCTAACATTCCTGCAGATCCCCACAAGTCATATGTGAGAAATAACTGATATTTTTTTCAGCTCTTGCTTGCTGCTCTTTGCCTCAGACTCTGGCTATGCTGTTACTGGGGTGACCAAAGAGCTCCACTGTAAATGAGGCATGTGTGGCTTAGGGATGTAATGAAGGAGTCCGTCCTGCTGCTTGTGAAGCTGCTCCCACCACATGTCCTCAACAAACATTTTACCTCACTGCAGCAAAGCAACGCGGGGGTGATGTCCTCTCTCACAGATCAAAGTTGCTGGGAATTCCCTTTGAGCAAAAGCAGCAGCTGCTACCTCCAAGAAGCTGAGGTATCATGTTTACCTGGAATTTCCCAAGACAAAACCCATAGCTCCTGGCAGGTATTTGTCAGCACACAGCAGACTGGCATGCAGAAAACTACCTTGGGAGGTTGAGTAGTGAGCACTAAACCTGAACAACATGGGGAAATGGAGACATCTCAGTCATGGACGGCAGGCACCTCTGCAGATGAGCACAAGGCTGGCGAGAGTTACAGCAACGTCAGGAAACAGGTATACATAAATAACTCATGGGCTGTTTCGGCACACCCTTCATGCTAACCACAGAATTAATTCCCACAGGATGTTGTCACTGCCAAAGCATAAATGGCCTCAGAAAGATTAAATAAGTTTGTGAAGGATGCGCCCAAAAGCGTATGCTGAAAATAAAGGGTTGGGCACAGCCTATGCTTCAGAAAGTCTCTACATCACCAACGGGCAGCTAAAAGTGTTTATCAGGAAAAGAATCGCTCCAGAAAGTGCTTCACTTCTCTTCCTTCTTGCTCAG